ATAATAATAATAATAATAATAATAATAATAATAATAATCATAAAAAAAGTATGACCAAGCTATTGACGGCTGTTGATATGCTAGTCAGCAAACGAGACATCAAGCCTCATGGGTCTTATTTCAACAATAATGGTAGTTAAATACCATTGGTAACATAAAGAATGCACGACTTCAAAAATACAACTTTGAAATTCCACTGGCCTTTATGGAAGTGTATTTATTTTCAAAACATCTTTATTAATATGTACTTGTATTTACTTTGTCATACAGTAATTCACACTTGATCTGTCATTAAATGTTTTTGAAAATAATGACAGGATGTCTTCGAAACATCCAGCAATAGACCAGGTTCGAATTCCAAATTACCGCTGTGTTCCTTGATTACAGACTCATTTACACAGGGTTAGCCTCGTATCAGTGTTTAAATATTCACAAATACCAACGGTAAAGTAAAGAATGCACAACTTCAACAATACAAACACTTTGAAACTCGACGGACCTTGACTGGAACACGTGAATATTCTGCACACACTCGAGGCTAACCCTGTGCAAATGAGTCTGTAATCAAGAAACACAGCAGTAATTTGGAATCCGATAGGGGTCTATTCTTGCATTTATTTTCTTAATCAAATCTTTTTTAGTGATTAATTAAAGAAATTTGTTTTAAATGTTTAGATTCTTACACAAGAAGTAGTCAATGCACAAATCAATTTGGAACATAACAGAATAGCTGAGCGTGAGCGTCTATTTCTCATTTACGCCAAGCAGTGGTGGAGAGAATACCTACAAATCCGGCCCTCACATTCCAACAGACTAGTAAAGATATTTGCACAAGATGAAGTCGCAACCAATAGGCCAGTGTGCTGGTTTGTTAAGCCGTTAAGGGCTGGAAGACTGCTGGACAGTCCAAGACAGGCAGCTAGGTTTGTCAGTCTACTGGGATACGAACATACACCATCTGTTGGGGGAGGGAGGACTGAGATGTGGAGTAGCCTGCATGCTTTCTTGTGTAAGGGAAAGGGGGTAAGTACTGTAAAACTACAWACATAATTAAATAGATGGTAGAAAATTGATAGTTATTATGGTTTACTGTCCTATGAAGAAAAAAAATTCTTTAAAACAGATGTTGTGTAGTTGTTTGTGGGACAAGATTTTAATTCCACTGGGAAAACTGCTGCAACGGTGATTGGTTCGCTCTTGTCTGAGTCAAAGCCATGCATTATTGCTAATATTTTTGTCTTGGCCTGTAGGATTATGAAGACCATGCTGTTCTATTATGTAGTCTACTCACTGGGTTTGGGCTGAATGCATATGTCTGTGTTGGTACTAAAGCTAAAGGTGCCGCACATACTTGGGTAGTCACCATCAGCCCTGATGGGGAAGCAGCATTCTGGGAAAGTCTTACTGCTCACAGGTAAGGGGATCCACCATTTTGATTCGACCATGGACAAGTACCAATCAATATCCAATATCCATATATTTTTATGTTTAATTATTTCAACAATTCATGAGGTGGTCACCTTGCATGGGTCTCGTGTCCCGTTCGTGACTTTCCTTTCTGGGTAACTTTTTTTTTCTTTTCTATTCAATACATTGTAATATTAGTTTTCCCAAATAAAGCTGTGAGAAAAAAAAAAAMAAAAAMCAAAAACCTCCCCCAATGATGGGGAGTGGAATTTACAAGGGGTGGGGAGGGTCTGAGGAGGGTATATCGTGTAGTTCCAGAAAATATCCATACCTCCCCCATGGAGGGGGATTGGAATTTCCAAGGGGTGGGGAGGGTCTGACGAGGGTGTCCATTCCATATACAGCAGATATGATCATTCCTGTAACAATATCTGCACCATTATTTCTTACACAGATATGTTCATCGACCAATAAATCCTGATGACCCACCGCTAGATAAACAGACCCAGCCGTCACATCCATATAGAACAGTTGGGTGTGTCTTTAACCACAAGGAGTTTTATGCTAATAGTCAGGTACAATATCTGAGTGTGTAGTTACGGTAGTTACACAGATACAGCTATTTCAAAAAAGGTTGAATACTGAATACTGCATGGAAGACACTAAAAACACAATAAATTATTAATATTAATCCTACTTTAGGAAATATCACTATGACCCACAATGTACTTTGGTCTTGGAATGCACTATTTGGTATGCAGTATTCAGTATTCAACCTTTTTTGAAATAGCTGTATAGAGGTTTTGCACCATCACGTGCCAATGCCATAATCCAGCTTGGACTGCCTGTGGCTAGATCATTGGCAGAATAATAACCTCCCTTTGCCCTTGGGAATTGAATTCTTGCTCATGTCAAATGATTGCATTAATTGTTCCTTGCATCTAACATGGCTGCCGTCACGTGACGGTGCAAAACTCTACACCATAGAATCCCCAGTTATAAGCCATCCCCAATATAATAATATAAGCACATGCACCTGTATGTTAACAGAAACTTCCTTCCAGTCTGTTATAAAACCCTTCCATTGATGAAGTACTGCCGTCCCACTTCTTCAGTTTCCTTATTATTTCATTTATCATCCACTTTGTCTTTTATTCCTCCTTTAGTTTTACAGTGTGACTACATTAACCTAAGCCACCCCAACAAAAATTATATCAAAATCACAAATCAAGATTTTTTGATGCCAAATAACAGATGAATTGGTGAATTCTGGGTTTTAAACTGTTTCTTGTTCACTTCTGATCATACACTCATATAAAGTAATATATATGCTTTTAAAAGAAAAAATGTAAGAATTTGTACCGATTCTATTGTTTAAATACTCAATTGTGATTGGCTAATTTGTCTGGGTGGCCTTGGTTGGTGTAGTCGCAGTGTAACACTCTTTTTAATGTGTTTTGTGATGATTGTTACAGCCTACTGATGCAGTAGATTGTTGTCAGTTTGAGTTACACAATGAATCGCTATGGAAAGCCATGAGTGAAGAAGCAATAAAATCTACATGTGGACCAAAAATACTGGTAAGAGTCAAGCTTCTGTCGGCAGTAGTGTGACGGAATGCGGTCCTGTCTCCCCACACTTCATCATTACACTAACCAATATCAGGAATATCAGAGGGATGTAAAAGAACCACTGGCAGTGAACACCCTCAGTGCTTACACCTCATACGATAAGCCACCTAATGATTGTAAGCACCTTTGAATAAAATATACTTAGAAAGGGTGCTACTGTATATATAACACAAATATTTACATTAAATGTAACTGTGGAATGAGGCCCACAGGTTTGTTAGTAAGCTATTCAACGATGGAACRAATCCACTTGGGCATAATGTTTTCCCCTATTTCACTCTACATGTCATTCTCTTGAGAATAAGATTATTTGTTTGAGTTGTATCCATTTCCATGTGTCTTCTCATGTGCAACCGTTAAACAAAAAAATGATACTCTGGGGAATGATGCGTGGTTTGAAATGGGAAAACAGTGGATTAGGTCTATTAAACCTGAAGCCTGACCTAAAGACCATGAGGGCAAGGTCTAATTGCCCTATTTCACTATGACGACACATCAAAACAATCTATTGTTTAAACRCAAAGGATCATGGTCGTCGGAGGGGGTCAAATCAAAGCAAATTCACTGAAAATTGTTTTAAAACCCGTATCAATCCACGAAGAGAAGTAGAATAGCCAGCAAACTCAGAATATTTTTTAGTACATATTAACATATATTATATCTGAAAACCAGGCCATTTTAGATTAAACTGTTTCGCTAGGAGCAAATTTTGTTGAATTTTCTATTGGATTTGGTGATTCTATCCCCACATAAACAAGCAGTGACGTCATAGTGAAATAGGGCAATTGTCTTAGTCTTAATGTAATGTTATCCTTTATAAACGAATTTTATTGATTGTCTGATTGATTATTATTTATTTATTATTTATTTCCTGTGTTTAGCCTCCTGTCCCAGCCTTGCCGCCATTATTTCCTCTTACCATAGATGCAGCCTTAGTTAGCAATGACATGGAATATGAGCTGAGGGGCCTCGTCGCAGAACACAGAAGAGTATGTTGAAACACTCATTTATACCTCACAGGGTATATCATCCCCAGCTATCTACTGTTACAAATGTTTTGGGTCCTGCAGTGAATTCCTGGTGAATTGTATATTCTATGCTGTTGATGAATGATGCATGGTGATGATGATGATGAAGATGTGATGATGATGATGATGTGATGATGATGATAATGATGAAGATGTGATGATGATGAATATGATGAAGATGATGTGATGATGATAATGGTGGTGGTGATGATGATGATGATGTGATGATGATGATGATGATATGATGAGGATTATAATGATTAAGATGATGATGAATATAATGAAGATGATGTGATGATGATGATGGTGGTGCTGATTGTGATGATGATTGTGATGGTGGTGGTGATGATGGTGGTGGTGATGATGGTGGTGATGGTGGTGATGATGATGATGGTGGTGATGGTGATGATGGTGGTGATGGTG